CACCAGCTGCTCTGAATAAGAGTTATAAACAAGAACTTCAACAGCCTTAACTCCCTCTGCTGCACTCCACCATAATCCCACCAATTTTGTGCTGCCCCATACAGCATCTGTACCCCTTTGCGAGCCACACACTGAGGCATGCAACACAAAGCCTTCATTTTCCTGCCATCAAAACATTCTCCAACAACTTCCAACGTGTCTTTTAAAACAAATATTTTAAGTACTTAGGCCTGAGAAAACATGCACAAAAATAGTGATATCTCAGGATGCAGGGGAACCACAGATTTAGTGGAGACCAGGATCCAATGCTATTTAGGTAGGCAGAGAGGGTCAGCCTACCTTAGAGGAGTCTGATCCTAATTAGAACAGACACAAAAGGCTCTATGCTCAGAAGCCACTCTATTTAGAATAAATAAAGTAGCCAAGCTCCATCCACATACCTCATAACAGGTAGGAGCTGGGTGCCTAAGAAAGTCCAGGGATTCACATGCAAGAAAAAAAACCAGTTCACCAGGATTTGTGAGCTTAATGGTTGATTATTCACTAGCCTTCTCAGGCAGGTCCCTCCATCTTTCCTCCTGGAATCATTCTATGGCTGTACAAATAATAAAATATTTCTTGGAAAAAAGACACCTATGGATTTGAAGCTTAGATCCCTGTACCAATGTATGCAAAACTGGGACCTTCTTAAAGACCAGAGTTACTGGAACAAAGTAGACTGTTTTCTTCTCTATGTTTTTGACCAGAAAAAGCTTTTGAAAAAATTAACTGCAAATTATATGTTTCTGCAAGGAGTTTTCATTTTGTGAGAAAGGCCCAGGCTAGCTTTATGTGAGGACCACACACTCCCATGGACAGAAGATGATGATGCTGATGAATTGCTGCTTTCAGCTGTGGGATTTAATTATTCTTATTCTCTACAGCTGGCGTTATTGTGTTGTGATGTGTTTATCTTCTGACATCTCGAGGGGAGGACGAAATAATTTACTACATTCACAATGCCAAAGGGACAGTTTGAATAAGAAATGCTGCAATAAGACCTGCATGACTATGTCCTCTGGCATGAATGATGAATCCAGGCCCTTTAGATCTTTTTTCTAGCTGCACTTACAGACTGGAAGCACTTTTTTTTTTTAATGTTACAGGAAAATTACACTAAAGTTAAGCCTATTTTGACAAGGTGAAGAAAATGTACTAGTTTATATTGGCTGATGTCTATCTAGCCTGTGTTCCTGAAGCCTTTCCCTTCATTTTTACAGGCTGGCAGGGTCACTAATCCTATTCATTTTCAGTTTGTCAGTCAATAATCACTTATGTGGCACTATGTCTTTGGAAATGACAGCTGAGACAAGATCTGATGCGCAGCCTTCCTTACACAATGCCTTCCTAAATACCAATCTGAGGCGGCTGAAAGGACCAAATACTCTAAATCTGATAATGACATGTTCACCAAGCTTATCATAAACAAGGTTTTGGGGAAGTTTATAACACTGCTGTGTGGGAAATGTCTCTACTCTGATGCCATAATGAAGTCATACGAAGCAGAACAGTCCCTGCCATTGACATTAATGAGAGTCAACTTTTTTGTTTTGTTCTAAGGCATTTTAATTGTATCACAGGCAGAGACCATCTGGCTTAGGAATGAATATTCAGTATCTGCAGCAGATGCTGAAATACTTGAGAGGGAAATGGTACTTCCTGGCTTCCAGCTTGCACAAAATCCAACACTAAATCTGGTGTGCTGCATAGTTAGCTAAATTGTAATTTGATGATTGATGAATGTCTTTTTAGGCTATTATCATCTCATGATTTAGTTATTATTTACTAGTTTGGACTTCATCTCTTAAAAAAGATCAATTTATGATAAAAATTACTAAGGGATATGGGTGCTAAAAGGGATAACATACTTCACTGCACTCTGCAGAGGTCAGCTCATCAGCCTTATTTACTGAGATGTCATAGGGATAGAAATAAATTTATTTTTTTGAGGAATAAACATAATTTCTCCCTTGTGTGTGACAGGTGAAATCCACATTTAGGAAAAATTTACAGAAAACATTCTCAAAGTGTAAATTTAAAGAACAGGTACCGCAGCAGACAATAACTTTCCTGAGAAAGAATCAAGACGAGAAAGAATGAAACCATTGCTTCCAAAGAGCAAGAACTAATTTCACAAATTTTATGAGTGTCACCAGATCCTTTAGTTTGGCCTATCTTATTTCTATAGGAGTGCCTCTCGCTCCAGCTTGTTGGGGGAAAAAACATCAAACTCATTTGGCGGAAAATTTTTCTGAGCTATGTTTAGAGAGTAGAAGACAATGTTTTGCAGTTTCGAGAAACTCAGGCTGTTATAACTTTGAGGTGATTATGTATCCTGGCCTCTTTACTAGACTCCAGGTTTATTTGTTTAAGTACATAAATATCTTGAAGCAGCTTTGAAGTGGATGTTGAGCTGTCAGCCTTGTCTGCCACACTGAGCTGCCTCAAATATGAGCAGCCCAGCAAGAGTGGGGGCCAGGCTGCAATCCCTAGGAGGTATTTGACTTGAATGTAACTGGTACCAGTGCGGGCAGAAATGCATTCAAAGGTAGTGGAGGCTCTGCCTCAATACTTAGGAATTAAATCAAACAACATGTTGACTTTCTCCTGAGAGAATGTGATGTGATGCATTTCCTCACTGGAGCTCTCTGGGGTGTGCTGGCTCTCATGAGTGCCGGGTTGCAGTGGGTGAAGCAATTTCCTGCACATGTTCAGAAACCACTCTGAAATACTTCAGGGTGATAACAGTTAAAGTCAATATGACCAGAGAGCCATCACCTCATTTTCACTGCATTACTGCAATAATCTTAGAAGAAAGATTCATAAAAACGCACTTGGGAACAAAATTCCAGGTGAGAAGAAATCCATACTACGAACTATCAGCTAACGTTACCAGACAACTGAATTTTCTTGTACTTTTCTCAGGAGAAATTTACCCTAGTGCACGAGACCAACACAAGACTCTCATAGGCTTGAATGCTGGATACTACGGCCCTCAGTAGAGCACTATTAAAATTGCCAGGCAGGCTTTCAACGTGGGCTTGCTGTGGAGCTAAACATCTTGCAACAACACAGTTCTTTCAGAGCCAAACAGGGCACACCTCTGGGATGAAGCACTTCTGAATACATAGGCTTATCCTAAGCAATAAGCAATAAGCAAAGAGTAGGAGCTGGAGCTGTAAATCAGAAGTCTAAGGGAGTATGGGAAGAGTGAAAGCAAGAGTTTCCCTCTCCTTTGGCTTATAGGAAAAACATATCAAGTGTTATACAAAAATGTGAAAATCTGATAACTGAAGCATTCAGATATCCAAACCTGAAGCTATTCTGACTCAAAAAGAAATTGATACATTTGATTTTCAAGCGGTACAGACATCACACTTCCATGAAGATCAGTATGTTTCTCCATTGCCTGTTGCAAGGCAGAATTTCTTTAGAGCAGTATCTCATCCAAAGAATAGGAAGTGATCAGGAACTATCAGTGGCACTACTATTAGGGCTGTAAGTATGAGATTCCCTCTTGTGATAAATCCAATGTAATTTTATGTGTTCAGTGACATCAGTGAACACATAAATTTCAGTGTCTAATCACTGTCAATATAATACAAAAATGTCTCCCTTGGCACACCAATAAAACTGGGTGGGATTGAGTGCTGCAAACAAGAGACTCAAAACTCACTCTCAGGCATGGGAATTTTGTCAGAATTTTGTCGCCTCGGAGGAACTGCTGAGCACAACCTAAACTTCTACATGAAACTGTTATGTCAGCAAGGTGAAGTAAGCCCAGTGAAAAAATGCCACCACCTGAAACTGATATTTTAAATGGCAATCACAAGAGGTAAAATAAGTTTAATGTATATAGTTTGGCAAAGCTGCACTCTGCTTCTTTAAGAATGCATTACATTATGAGCATTCTTATTACAATTTTATTGCAATATTCAAGGTGCACTCAGAAGATACTATTTTTTTAAAATATGTGTTTATTTGTTTACATCTTATTTTACAACACTGTACCAGCCTCCAGTTTCATTTCTAAAATGAAAGCTAGTGATATTTCCATATCAAAGTTTAAAATTAATTTGCTTTTTGAGACATAGCCCTTGATCTAAAATAGTTCATTTTAATTAGGACATTCAATTTTCTCTAATGAAATCAAGTTCCATTTACCTAATCCAAAACTACTTTCTGAAAGAGCTACAAGCAGTACCTTTGCTCAGCACAAGCCCTTGTAAGGCTTTTCCGCATCAGGAGATTGTACCTACACAGCTAAACTGATTTCAGATTGATCTACTAAAATCCCTTTAAAATGTTACCCATAACGAGGTCTACCCCACTTCTGGATCAGTTTTATCAAGCAGATTTAAGTTTCCTAATGCAGACCAGGAATTGATAATAAAAAATCAAGTACCATTACAAATATGTGTTAGGATGGAAAAACTAATAAAAAATTGTCCCACCTCCCAGAGCACAACTGTCTGGACCTGCACATCCTGGAGCACTGCCATCTCCCACCACCATTTTTGTACAACTTCCTTCTTCCCTTTGCCCTCCTCTCTGGAACATGTTATGTACATGTAGACCATGCCAGATCATGTCTGCTTCTCATTAAGAGAATGTACAAGACATTTCTGAGGAACGCTTTGCATATTCTGGCTCGATGTTAGGATGATGTTCTGCCCCCATGCACAGCTCAGAGGCACGTGGATGGATCAGGGCAGAGATAACCAGTGCATGGGCACAGGCAGTGAAAAGCACTCCCTTCCCCTGCTGTGACAGCTCTATTTAAAGTAAATGTTTGTCTGGGGGAAAGCCTGTCTTTATCAATTTTGTACGTGTCATCAACACAGAGAAATGCAATAAATACCACACATTATTACAAACTCTGAAACACCTTCAGTTCCTTGCTGACTGCAGTTTTCACAATGCAGCGGCACGGCAACAAAATTATTTAAAAAACTGCATACCTTGAAACACAGCCAGGCTGTCATCCATTTGACCACTTTCACAACCCAAAAAACATGCTTGTAGAGCTCAGTATTCACTACTCCAGGGTCTACTACATTAGCAGTCACATGGCTTCCATTTGCAGTCAGAAGATGCTGTAGTCGATAGGTAAATAACACAAGGGCAAGTTTGCTTTGGGCATAGGCTCCATGGGGTGAATACGAACATCTGCACACAGGAGAGAAAAAAGAAGATGCACATAAAAATAACCAGAAGGGAAATAAAATTGCACAAACATCAAATGTACTTCATTTTGCAATATCCAGCAAACAGCTATACATTGAATCATCAGAAGAAACAGATTATCACTGGCAAGCGTGTTGTTTGCTCAAGTTCTGGTGATTATTCTGTCAGACACCAAGCCTTATTTATGTCAGGGAGATTTATTAAAATAAAATTACACAATACTTGTTGGAATCTCTATGTCAAACTATTTAAACTAGAAATGCTGAGGCATCAATCTCCAAAGCCATCATTGCCTTGAGACCCTCAAACTTCTCTCTTTCACTCCTCTCTTCCCAAACATACATACCATGTTCCCACCTAATAAATCTGATCATACCACTCCTGATTATCATTATTATTTGTATTGCATCAGTATCTACTAGTTGAAGGTTCCTGTGTTGGGCATGGTAGAGATGAGTAAGGTACTCATTGCACCTGCCCCAGTGATGCCTCAGTGTGTGCACAGTTAAAGATATGGATAAAAATATGGGCAAGGAGAGTGGCTGCAAGTGTAACCACATTATGCCCTATACAGACTTTAAAGCATAGATGGCTGGCTGGGTCTATTCCAAAGAGGTATTACAAAGGAACACAAATTCTGGGAGTTACAGCAAAACCTGTTGAGACTCCTGTGCACCTTTCTCATCTGGATGTCAAATGTGCCTTTCTTTAAAGTCAAGCTTTCTAGGAACTGCTGATTAGTTGGGTTTCATTGCACGTAGGCAGCAGTACATTTCTTTCTTTTCTAATAAGCAGGCTAGTTTCAGGTAAATTAGCAGGTATGTCACTTAAAATGCTCCTCCAGACTGGGGCCTCAGCATCACTTCCACAAATTCCTATGCCATGACAATTCACTCCTGTAATTGCTACAGCCTCTCATCTAACCTTATTTGTCCTTAGCAGAACCAAAGGTAAGTGGTGGTACTTCAAACAGCTCATAGGCAAAGCAGGCTGGAGCCTAAAGCAACAGGTTCCTGGGGATAGTAAAACTGCTTTGGTCCCCATCCACTTTGCCTCTGCCACAGCCTGGGGAAGTGATGTTGCATGCTGCCGCTGCCCATGTGGAGTCAGGGGTTAGGACCTGTGGGGCAGCAGATGAAGAGTGGTGAAGAGTGATAGAGGGACACAGACCAAGAGCAGAACCCTTCTTCCCAGTTCTCTCCTTCCCCCAGATGTTGTCCTGCCTCTGTGGTGGCCACAGCTACAGCTCTATCCTCTACACTTTCACTATTGGTGCAGCAAATGCCTGGACCCGGGATGCTCCTACTCTGCTGGAAAGCCTGCTTATAGTTTTCTGTGGCTGCTACTACATGCAAGTTCTTTTATTTTGAATGAGCAGCAAATATATGAGTTCTTTTTGTTATCTCATTCTTATTGAATATCTTATTTATAATATGCTGTACACTTCACCACAGAAAGCACAGGATGTTAAGAAACAGGCAAACTCTCTGCAGAGGTATAAGGCTACTGAAGCAATTTAACTGCCCATGTTATTTGAAAGTACTCAGAAACTTGGAGACACAACAGTAAATCATACAGCTCAGCTACAGGAAGGAAAAGACAACAATGCTGAATGTCCGGTGCATCTCTTTTCTTTTTTTCTTCTTTTTTTTTTCCCTGTTCTATTCTTGCTGAAGCAAATCACGAACAAATGGTCTACAAAAGAGTTATATAAATTGAGAACAAAAAAGGGCAGCTGATTATAGGTGGCCCTTGCACCAACAAACGGTTTCAGCTGTAACATGCTGGATAATGTAGCTCCACTATCATAAAGATATCACCTGCACCTTCGGGCAAAATGGGCTATTTTAAGAATAAAGAACAATCACTGCATGAATACAAAAGTGAGTTGGCATTAGTCAGGAAATTGCAGTTACATTTTAAATTCAGTAACGTCTGTGCTCTGATCTGAGACACTCAAAATGTCACCTTATGCTTCATGCATATTTCAACCCTTTTAACTTGAAGGACCAGATCCTCAGCCGCTACAGGCTTCTCTTGTGCACAGCCATGTGGGGCAGAGCTCATGCCACCCCTGGGAAGAAGCACTCATCCCAAGCTGCCTGGGGCAGCCAGTTGGCAGCTAACCCTGGCACTCCTCCATCAGTGCCACCATCCCCCACTGAATGCAACCTGGGGCACAGGACAAGCTTCCTGAGTTGAATTAGAGTGATCTTGTCTGGCAAGTGGATCGCAGGTAAGCATGGCTGGGGACTACTCTAACTTGTTCTGCCTGGGTCTAGTCTGGCCTTCAGTAACCTTCAGATGCCAGGCAAGAGGATGGTAGACTCTCCCCACGATTTCCCATTCCCACATTTTGTGTGAGTGTTGTTTTGACTTACCTTGTGGCAATGAAGCATGAAATACAAGGGCTGGATCCTCAAAAGCCTTGTATTTGCATAGATATCTATGTCAGAGAAACACGAGTGCTGAGAAGATATAAAAAGCTACCCAATCAATGAGGAAGCCTTTTATATCACAGTGCAGAGATGCAAATGATTTGCAAGGCAGCAGAGAATCAGACTTCAATAACATGCTATAGATTTAAGGATATAAAATTGGATACACAGAGCAGACCCTTTTGGCAGAACCCCTGCAATGATTACCTGCTCTCTTCTCATTTTCTTTGTGTGTGCTTTTTGCTTTCCAGGAACCTAACATCAATGGACTACATAAGACAGAGGAATAACATGACACAGAACTGACAAGGATTTTTGTTGAACAACTGTTTTGTTTGTGAGACCCCATTTTACTAGAATCATGTTGTTTAAATGCCACGTTGAAAAAAAAAATCAGCATTGGTTACTTGACTTCATTACGTCAGTCTTAACTTTATGTATCAGTAAAACAGGCGCACTTAGGCTTCTGCACCTATACCATGATTGCATCTCCCATGCACATACATGTAGAATCACAGAAGGGTTTGGGTTGGAACAGACCTTTAAAGACCACCTAGTCCCACTTCCCTCCCATAAGCAGAGACGTCTTTCCACTTGACAAAGTTGCTCAAAATCCCATTCAACCTGGCTTTAAACATTTCCAGGGATGGGGCATCCACACTTTCTTTGGACAACCTGTTCCTGTGCCTAATCATCCTCATCATAAAATTTTTTTTTCTTTTGTCCAGTCTGAGTCTACCTTCTTTCAGTTTAAAACTGTAAAATGTATTCCTCTTACGCATGGAATTATCTGGCTTTAAAGCCTATGCATCTTAATCTAGCCTCTCTTGGCACTTCATGCTCTGTATGTACCTTTTCCACAATAAATGAAAGTATAATTGCATAGTAAAAAACACTGACATTATGCACTTCCACATTTTCTGAAGGCTCTAAAATCTTTCTGAAATGAAAGTGCATGCAAGAGGCAAACCATCCCAAAGCAGAACACCGCTTACCAGAAAACTGTGCTGGCACATATGAGGTGCCTGTGACTCTTGGACCCTTGAGGACACAGGGTATTGATGCTTCACAATAAGGCAGGCAGGCTCTCAAGCAGAGAAACTCTGTCTCCTAAGAAGGTGACCAGCCAGGCTCCCAACTCCCAGTGGTATCCATATAGGATGCTGGCCAGTTGGCTAGACCTGGAAGTACTGGGGTTCAATGCCCAGGGATTCATCCTAATAAATGTTTGAGGGACGCCAAACAGCACGTGCTGTGATATGGCAAACCTGTACACAGTCAGCAGCTAGGAAAAGTGTAGCAAGGACTTCGTAGGAAGAAGTTCAGGGGGAAAGCAAGGCACATCTGGCATCAGGAGCTTTGAAAAGTTCATGCTCACCCACTCATTGGAGTGGGGTTCTCCATGGACCACTCTTTCTACCATGGAAAACAGTGTCCCCTGGGGGATGCCCCTTCATAGTATTTTGTTGAGTCACTGCTGATAAAACAGGGCAATGCCCAACTCACTAAACGAAAACTACAGGAGGAGGTAAGGCAGATAGAGTTTATTTAGCTGCTTTGAAATCTGGCTAAAAGGGCAGTTATATACGTGACCTTCTCCTTCCTTTGAAAATAATGTTTTATTGATTCTATATTGATGAATAAAAGATCAGAATAAAGCAGGTTCTACATTTTCTGTCAAATTAATTTTTAGCAGGAATTCTTAATTTTGGCTTAAGATTTTTTTGCAACATAGCCTACATGTTTGAATTGTCATTACAAAAATTGTATTTCTGCCAGAGCAATTTTAATATTTAATATTTAATTCTGGAGTGAATGCCTTGTGGTTTGTTGATTTTTTTATTTTGATTGTTTTTCTTTTTTTCTTCTTTTCCACTAGAAGATGATTTTGCCACTTATCTCCATGGTGCTGTCTCCAGCGGCACTCTCCCTATACAATGTATTTGTAAAAAATAATGAGAAGCCAAATTTCAAACTGAAGCCTGCAGTAGCTAATTAGGTGTTAAAATATGAACTCAGCTGCTATCCCAGTTTGAAAACTGGATCCATGTTTAGCATGTCCCTTGGCAATCAGTCTTCTTCTTGTTTCTTTTCTGGCTGGCTTTAGTTGGTCTGTGTTCTGTAGTGGTGTCCCACTTACGTCCAGTGATCTCATGTTTAGTAAAGAGCATTAAGTAAGTTCAGGGTACCCACTGAGTAACAGCGGAAACAAAACTGCTGCTCAGCACAGATCACTTCCTTCACACCCCCTGTGCATGGGCCTTCTTGTTGCTCTCAGCTTTTTCACTCTCATTCACGGCTCCTTTAGCATGCGGAGGAAGCGGATAAGGACCAACTGACAGCACCCTTTCCCTTCCCCACCACATCTTGCTTCAGCATGAGGTTTGGGGGACCTGTGACTATCCAGACTGACACACAGGTCAGCCTGACACACTGACAGCCGGTGAAGGTTTCCTGATGTTGACCTCTTTCACACCACACGTGTCTTGCACATGTCTTTCACCCATCACCATGCTTCCCAATTTCCAGGGTGTTAAGTAGAGG